ATATTCATTCTACTCAGCCCGTGTGCGTACATCTCAAAGCAGCAAACGAAAATCACGCATTTCCGTTGTTCAAAATGTAGTTATTCAACAACTTATCCAGTTATTTTTATGATAATGTGGAGTTTAACTTTTATAACGACTGTAGGTTCTCTCTGAACCTCTATCTACATCACTGTGATTGATAATTTGACTGATTAAGCTGTCCCACTGTGAAAGACCCTTCAATTAAATTTTAAATGCTGTAGTTAATAGTTTTAGTGATTTCTACTTTTTTTTTTTTTACCTAAATAAACTGAGGCTTTTTAAATTCATTACTGATATATCAGTCCCTTTATACAGGTTTATGTCTCTATAATTCTTTAATAATAAAATAAGCTTAAAACCTGCAATAGGCATGTGCAAAATATTTCAAGTCTCTCAGGTAAATGCAATTTTTTATTTGCAATAATCAGTTTCCTAGTTACTTTTATTATACCCATATTTGTCAGTGATTAGCAATTACAATAAAACACATTCTATCATTGAAATTAAAATCATAGTCTTCTCTAATGTCTAGATTGATTTGGGGTGTTCTGAATACAAAGGGTACAAAGAATACATTATGTCCAATTTCTATTACTGGACTCAAAGTTGAAAACTGTGTTATGGTTCTGCCCATTTTAAAAGTATGCATTTATTTGTATTGGTCCATCACGTGACATGCTTGTGAAAGTAAAGTTTGTTGTTTCTATCTGATAATGTTTTTAAAAAGTTTAAGTAGTCTGAATAATTTTCAAGACACTGTAAGCAATGTTTGCCCTGCAAAATGGAAATAACCATTAGTCATTCCTTTGGATATATGCAGTTGCAATGGCTAAAATGCCTTGGAACCACCAGCATCTGGGCCTGCTCAGAGTGTGACAGCCTGTGTCGTAAGAGCAGACCACGAGTAACATCACGTCCCCTCTGTACTCCCCTCCTGGCCTCACTTCTGAGAAACGCTAGCATTGAATCATTTACTCGGCCCACATTAAAAATTGGAATCTGCATGCATTATATATTCACCCCTGCTCGGACAAATCCTCTTAACTGTGGGAGAAATTGTTAGGACGGGTCCTGTGGAAAAGTAAGAGCGTTGTCTGGTTGTATTGCCCAAAGCAAGGGAGCATCTCAATCTGTCACTCAAATCCACACACACACCAACCACACTATGAATAACTTATAAATAATATATCCTTATACTTTCTTTATTAATATTAAACATTGCATAATGAAGCAGCGACTATAAGAAAATCCCACAGCAATATTCATATTACCACGAGCTCTCCTGGAGTGGACCTTTCATTGTTTATGTCAGCCCTATCACATTGTGGTTAATCACATCAAAATGGCTTTGAATGTTTTATTTTTCACCTCTGCAACTCAAGAAAAAAAATCACAAATTCGTATTTGAGCCTTGTACTATACACCCTGAGAAAGCATTTCTTCCCTAACTGATATCTGTTTTTGTCTTACATTTAAATGTTTTAGACCATCAAGCATATTTCTATTAAATGCAGTTTAGAAATGGTGATTATTTTTAGAGAAAAAATAATTTAAACCAACATAGCTCTATGAAAATATAACCATTCCCCCATGCTCCGTTATGAATTAGCTGTATAATTGCAATTACTCCACCCACACTGTCATAGAAACAAGATTGGTTATAACACCTGAATGACAATATAAAGCTTGCTAAAATATTTCTGAATGCACTTCTAGGAGGTCATAAATCAAACACAGCATGTCTGATACACAATCCCACAATAACAGTTAAACATGGTAGCGGTTGTATGATGGTCTGGGACTGCTTTGCCACTTCAGGAACTGTACAATGAATTCTGCTCTCCCTTATGACATCTTGAAGGAAAATACCAGACCATTAGGCTCATGGATTCTTGAGCTGTAGCATAATTATCTATAAGCAGCAATTTCAACTGTAGATTACTCAGAAAAAATAAAAAATAAGGTTTCCAAGTTGCTTATTCATATTTTGACCTTAAATCCAGTTTTTAAGCTGTGATGTAAACAGTCTGTTGTTCCAGGAAAAAATCTCACTAGTGTTAAAAAAAAAAAGAAGCTATTTTCTTTTTCTGTTATCACCCTGCAACGTTTGGATTTCTTGTTTCTTTAAATAAACAAAATCATCCCGTGAAAACATATTTTTTTCATACTGAGATTATCTTTGTCTGATATTAAAATTTAAATACTTTTCTGCAGCACTTAGTGTGTCTATTTTTAGTTTCCCTGTGACTGTAACATTTCTTTAATTCTAAGATGGTACCACATAAAAAATGGAAAGGATGTTCCCAATCAAAGGCAGCTAAGATGATTGTACATGTCTCCACTCTGTATGCAGGATCCTGCCTTTAACACACTGTTTTCACCTCAACATTAAAAATTAGTGTCTGAAATTGGATTACATTGGTGGATTTCACTGAAGAAAATGAGTTTCAGCAACAAAAAAAAAAGTCTCTCAGTCGGACAGAACATCCATTTCAGTTGGTTATGTTTTCATCCGCTGTGTGGATGTTGCCCCGCGGTGTGTTCAGGTTAACTCGTACTGAACGAGGACACTTGCCACGACAGATGCGTGTCTCCTTGGAGGCAACACTTTGGACTTAAAACCTTTCCTGTGTCCACAACCAGGGCATGTTGGCCCTCTGAAACCAAGCTTAAACTGCTTTTGCCCCGAGCCTGCAGAAACGAGCTATAATGGAGACATTGATGTATTATTAAGAAACCCATGAGTGAGGATCAAGGAGATGCTCACAGCCAGCAGACATGGCAAGGGAGAGCGTGTGAACTCAGCATTATGTTTCCCTTCATGTCCGAGGCTGCTATTGCTCTGCAGCCCCATGCTCTGACTTTTACTTTCATGTAATATAACAAACTGAATTGTTCAAACATGCTATGGCCGGTCTGCGAGACAAAAACACTTCCTTGGTTTTTTGCATGTGGCATCTGCTGAGGTTACGTCTGCTTGAGCCAGAACTGAGATGACATTTCATTTATATAAATAATTACTGTCCTGAAAGTCCCACAGGCCTGCCCTGAAGCAATCAAACTTCTAATGCTCTTAAAATTGCCCACCATGTTTTATTAATGGCCAGGCTGTAAAAATGTATCGCCATGGCTGCACACTTCTATCCACTGATCCAGGAAATATATTGTCAACTTTAAATGGCCATGAGAGGCTTTCGTTTTTGTTCTACGGAGTATTTCCAACAAATTACAGCTTTAACATAAGTTTGAATTGTATGGTAATATTCTGGGGGACTGGGGGTTGAACTATACTGTCTAAAAGGCACTTACCTGTACATATATGAGCTGAATACAGAGAAGAGTGTTCTAAACGATTGTCCTTTAGATCCATTAATGCCCCTAAGTGGGCCTGATCTGCTCTAAGAATACTTTCAGATCCTGGATTCTGTGCAGCACCAGAAATATCCACATCCATTCTACTTCTCATCATATTGCAAAAAAGGCAAAAGTTGCGGTTTTCTGCATTCTTTAACAGAACCAAACCTGAAAAGTGTGGAATGCATTTACTTTTAACCCCTCAGACCAATGCTTTAACCACATATGCTCCAGTTACAACTCCATGTCATTTGGGGAATATCTGCACCAGTTATTCTCTTTGTTATGCCAAACAACCTGGTGCTCAGTCAAGTCGTTTCAACTAAACTCTGACCTATATCCCCACAGCATGACGGTGCCACCACTATGTTTTAATATAAACATGAAGTGTTTAGGATTTAGCAATTACCCCACACCGTGTTTTATATGTAGGCCAAAAATGTTCTGTTTTCATTTCATGTGATCAGAGGATTTTCTACGGCATATTTGCAGCGTACTCTGCATGTTGCATGGGGACAACTTTCAGCTTCCTCTCATCAATGGCTTTCTTCTTTCCAGAATTGTAGAGTGCACAAACAACAAGTTGTGCTCTCAACACATTTTCTGCCTGAGCGGTAGAGCTCTGATGCTCCTCCAGAGTTTCCATAAGTTTCTTGTCTGCTTCTCCCGCTGCTGACCTTTTGCATTCAGGTTAGGAGTCTCAAATGCCACTTTGAGGGGCAGGACATTATTTGGGCACTGTGGGAGCTGCGTCAGCTATTTGATATAGATAGATTAAACAAGGGACACAGTATGCAACCAGGGCTGAAGTATAAAACCCCTCGGTGGATGACCATGTGTTGGTATTTCTGTAGTTGTGTTGTATTCTTTCCATTAGAGCGGAGGTCTTCAACAGGGTGTCCACGGAGGTGCTGCATGGAGGTCGCGAAAGTTTTGGTTGATTAGACTTTTTCTTATATTCCCCCTGCAATTTTTTCCACTACTTGAAATGTCTTTAAATGCACATTAACATGAATTGAACACACTGTATTAAACAGATAAATGGAGGAAGAAGATGTCTTTCAGTCATCAATGCACACATTCAGCGACACACAGGAGTTCTTTCAAGCTGGGCACCGTTTCATTCACAACACCTGTCCCATCAACCAGGAATCAGAAATACTTTAATATTGCCAGGGAGAAGTTACTTTTTTTTTTTTTTACATTACTCCTTATGTAGTAGAGCGACTATAGGAGCAGTTTGATATACACAATTTCCTACAATATATATATATATATATAATTAGGGGGTCCCTGCTCCATCTTGCCATCAGTTTGGGGGTCCTTGGCCTGGAAAACGCTAAAGACGCATTAGAGGATTGAAAGCCATGCAATCTTTGAACCAATATGTTGATGTTGTTTTTTTTAAACTTTTTTTTACAGATTTATCTCAGACCTGTCAACCATGTCTTGGTTTAAAAACTACACATGAGTTGAGTCTATTGGTTGATAAGGTTTTATTTTGGGGGTTTTAGACTAAACAGAGCTGCATATGCTTACAAATTAGTTTTTTCTATGTCAAATAATCAGAAAACAAGGCAGTGTTTTCCTTTTACTTAACAGTTCTGAGCTACTAAGTGATGGTCTGACACCAACAAATCATAATCCAATTTGTTTGCTGTTTTTGGTTAACAGAATGTAAAAAAGGTTTACAGAGGATGAAAGGTTTTGCAAGGCACAAGGTTAAATTCAGAAAGCTGTTTAAGGTGTTATCCTCTGGATAGATCTGCTATGTCTCCTGAATGTGCCAACAGAGGGTACTGTTGCCTTAAACTACCCTGATAACAAACCTGCAGCATGTTGTACACACCCCCTGTGTCACAGTGTGTGGAAATATATGCTTAACATTTATACTGATTATGCATCCGAGCCTTATTTAATATTAATAATGCTTAAATGACTGAATGCATGCAATAAAAGTATCTTAAGAGCAATTAAATGTTTGACCTGATATGCGGGAGGTCTAACCACCCTTAGTGTTTATGTGACATTTTTAATGACATCTTAATAAATTAGAGAAAAGCTGCAAGAAATAAGAAATATGCAAGCTTTTTGGATGATAAAATGATGATGAATGCAAAGGTGAGATGGTTTATTTTTGGCGGTAACATAACACTGCTTCAAAAGCCAGACAAGCATGAGCCTGTTAAGTAAGTAAGCGCTGATGACTGGTGATTACTTCTCGGAGCGGATGGAGGAGCCCCTGGGAGCCGCCGCTGTCTGCGTTTGTCCAGCTCCTGTCTGACGCGTGAAGAACGAGAGCGCACTTGAACTTGAATCTGTCCGGGGCAAATAGACGGCCGTGCACGCGCACACGCGCGCATCCAGGCGAACAGAGCATCTTTCATCGCGTGCGTCGATTGGAAGTAGCCTCAAACACTATAGGAAACTGGGAAATATCGGACCTCCTCGGCTTGTTGGAAGAAAAGGAGGAGGTGTCACGTCTGCTTGCCTGGGTTCTCTCTCTCCTTTCTCTCTCTCCTCCGTGTGTGTGTGTGTTTGCGTGTGTGTGCGTTTAATGTGTCTCCCAATCAGCAAGGCTAGTGCCGCTGGAGCCAAGAGTTGCCGCTCCGCGCACCAATGCCAAAACGCACAGGAGGAGTCAGTGCCAAAGGGTCATTTAGCGCACCACTGCTGAGATGGAAGGACTGTAGGGAGCACACAGAGTAAACAGCTGCTATTTGGCCCCTAGATACGGCAATCATAGGCTTTTAAGAGAAATTTCTGAAAAAATAAACAGGGTCTATTCTCTGATACAGCGGTCGCTGCAGAGGTGGGGAAGCCCAGGATTTTTTTTTAATTTTGATTTTTAAATAACAAAAGATCTTTGCAACACTTCTCCTAACCTGCTCTCATCGATCCCTCGCAGCCTTAAAAAAATAAACCCCACTTTGGCTCACTCCCACCCGCGATCCAGGTGTTGCTCCCACGGCAGGACTCCCGCGCGGATCTTCCACCCTCATCACGCGGCGCTCTTCCAGCTGCTTGACGCGCGTTAAAGTTGACCCGTTCAGAGACTGTCTGGGGCGAAGAGAGAAGAGCGCGATCGGACGGAGTGCGGAGGAGAGCTGCTCACCGACACCACGGTTCAAGCCGACTCCAAGTGCCGTTCACCGGGCGATGCCAGAGTAAATGCCGGGGCAATGTCCCGCCGCAAGCAGGTGAACCCGCAGCACTTATCGTTGACGCACAGGGAGACGGTCCAAGGTGAGTTTGTGTGTTTAAAAAAATATTTTCTACATAAAAATACTATATTTTAGTCCTCACTTTTATCACGCTTAATCTAAACTTTTTCTTTGCAAGAATAAAGCATTTTCTCTCAAATATATTATTGGAACAGAACCAATTTTATGCATTTAAAGTTTGGATATAGGAATTAACTGACCACAAGAAGACATTAATTTGTTAAACACAATATTTATTACTTATTTTATAATAGCTTGTGTGATAAAATTTCATAGAGTTAAATAAGCTTTATTTTCACGATTTATAGATTTTATCACTCCCTTTTAGTGAGGGCGTATGTTTTGAGTTTGAAAGCATGCGGGCACATGTCTTAAATTCGTCATAACACACATTTGTCATGGCACTATTCGTATTTTTCTTTTTTATATTATTATTATTACTAATTGCACAGTTTTCTTAACGTGTCCCAAACGCTTTAGACATTTGTGCAAAGCTTTCCTCTTTGTCCTTCTAAATGCTTGAAGGCCTATTATTAGTAGTTCACTTTAAGGCTAATAATTAAATAAAGGAAAGTGATAAAAAAAAACACTTTCTTACAAAGAAAAACGTTTAAAGTTGACACATTTGTTGTGATAATAACAATGATCTATTTTTATTTGATACAGTGCTTTCCAAAACTGCGTTCAGATAACTTTTAAGGCCTACCGTTTAAATAGTTTAAATCCAATTATGTCAATCTAACCTTTATCTCCGTGGGTTCGGCTTATGCCTAAATCCAATTCAAAGGGCCTTCCTAATCTGGGTAATTTATGCACAAACTTCATGATGTAATCTCTGGCCCGATGTGTGCTGAAAACTCTTTTTTTTTTTCTTTTTTTTTTTTTGGGCTCATGATTTATTTGCTCCATGTCTCTCTTTTCTCACAGAGCCTCCTCATAGTTGTTGCATTAAATACGTCAAAAAATGTTTTTTTTTAACTAACATCTCTGTCTTAAAATGTTGGAAATCTTTTTTAGTAATTACCTGTAAAACATCTGACTTTTTTCCCAATTTGAAATGTCTAGATTTTAATATTAGTTATAATAATATGATCAAACATTTACCTGCGGAAAATTGCACAAATAATTCAAACAATTTAGAAATATTGGCGTTTATTGAACTAATCCATTTTTGATTTTCTGTTGTATTTACAGTAAAACCTTAAATTGCCTGCCATACAGTGACTGCAATCCTGTCCTTCTGCACTCACAATTAGTTGTCACACCTTGTCTTTTAACTGTCTTATAAGTGTCCAGACGATTTATCTGTTCTTGCCTGAAGCTATTAAGGAGTGAGCTTTCAGTTGCTTTATTTTTTTTTTTAACTTCCCGTAGTCACACATGTAGCAGCATCTTTGGAAATATTGCTTAATACATCAACTGCTGCTGAAGCGTCCCTCTGAATAAAGAGGACAGTAGGATGCTGATGAGTTGGGCAGTTTAGAGGACCTGAATCCTGTCCTACCTGTTCCTTTACCTAATATTCTCTCTGGTGTTTGCTGAACCGTGCCCTCAAGCAATGGCTTGATAAGTACAGGTGTAAGATCAGGGAGGGACAAAAGTTTAAAGCTCCTTTAGCCATTTTTTTTTTTTAGATTCTATAAAAGATCTTGCAAATATGTGTGAACGTTCACCGTTTATATAATATCTAACAGACGTTCAAGATTTGATGAGTCCTTGTGCAGGAGGTGTTATGATAGAATGCAGCTATTATTCTGCAGCTGGTGACAGTATTATGCTGTGGGCTGTCTCCCTATGATGGGAGGGCCTGGAGACGACCACCTGAGGCGGGGAGATCTAAGGAGCGTGGGCGAAAACTAAACTGTAACTTCCTAAAAGACAGCTTTTCAACCGCCCTGTGTGAAGAAGAAGAAGAAAAAAAAAACTGAAGTCAGTTGACTTATTCGTCAACATTTTTTCCTCCATGACCTGTCAGGACCAGTCGCAGTGTATCTCTTTACACGAGCCATAACGGGAAGTTTGAGGAGGATGCCAACATATATCAGCCGCCCGTCAGATCAGGGAGAACAGCATGTAACTGAACGCAGCCTTGTGCCCTGCAGCCATGGCCTATAGGGTCATGCTCTGTTTGGGAGAACACAAAACCTGAATATCAGCATACTTCTGGACAGGCTTGTCAGTGGAGGACGGTGTCTGTCAGTAGGTGGGGAAAATACTTGCCCGGCCAGACATCTAGGGACACTCAAGTGCAGAAAGGCAAAAGAGTATGCAGCACAAACAGCGCACACACACATGGACTCAGCATTTACTGCGAGTCTGCAGAAGTTACGCTCAGATTGCATGACCACATGCAAAGTGTGCGGCTTCACTGCCTAAAACAAATCACATGTAAGTAGCTGTTCTGCAGAGAGCTGGATCTAAACCGTCAGCTTTCAGTTATTTCTTTGTTTTCTAAATACACTGGTGTGATAGAGGTGTTGCATTAATGAGAAAGTAAAATTCAGTCCTACGGTAGTTCTGATGATTTACTCTACAATCAGTGTGGAACTGAGGGACTAATGTTTTTGTGAGCCTAGACCCCAGTAATATTTGCAGTCTACCATCACCGTCCAAGCACAGAACCCTTCCCTGGATCCATCCACGGAAACGCCTCGTGATAACTGTTTACTCTCAGAATTGGCATGCTACTTGTGAAACAGCCAATGTTTTCTTCTTTATTCATGCCATATGTGCCGTCAAATGATGGGGAGAAACCCACCGTACGCGCTGCAAAACCCCACTGTAAATATTCACACAAACGTTGCGGTAACGGGATGATAATCTCACAGGAGACGATCCGGAGTGAACGATTTACGATTCACAGATTTTGCTTTCAATAATTTAAAGATTACAAAACACGTTCGATGAGTTTTGCAACCCTGCATTTTTTTTTATTAGTGTAAAAATTGGCCAAATATGATCTCTTCCTCTCCAAGTGTCATGCCTCATAGATTGCAAGTCATTTATAGTGATTTTAGTGACAAGTCACAGTCAGCAACACAGCTTTATTTTGCTCACTTTCAGACTGATAATCTAAGATTTATGATAAGGAATAAGACTGGTACAGATTAAATACTGATAAGATAATTAAACACACACTCACACACACACGCAGAGGCCTGACCTTACACAACATTGCAGTGTTGCAGCTCCGCTTTGCAAAAAGCAGATGAGAAAAGAAATGAGATAGGCTAAGCGGGGCTTGCATGTCGTTTAAATTTTTGATTGCAACCATCTGCAATGTTGCTGGTGTCATTTGTTTTCGAATGGCAGAGTGAATCTTACCCGACTTTCCCCCCCAAATAGGGTTTACTCATAAGGCTGAGTGTTTTTCAGCTACGAGACTGCAGAAACAGAGACAGGCTTAAACCTACTGAATATCATCTCAGTGCCTGTGGCCTTACACTGTAATTTTTTAAGGAAGATTGTGTTGAAATGTAAAAAAAAAAAAAAAAAAAAAAGACTCAAGATTTAAAAACCTGCAAATACTTGATGGGTTCGGTCTGAGGATTCAATCAAATTCAAATTTAATGAATAGAACTTTCATAAAAACCAAAGTTTTCTGTTATTCTTAATGAAACACTCCTCAAATTAAGTATCTTAATTGAGAGATTTTGGAAGTTTATAGGAATGGTTAACTAATTTTGTTTTTCTTCTATGGTCTTAAAACTGTTTCGGCCTGATTTCTATAACCGTTTAGACGGAAGTTAAGTTTTTATATTTTACATTTAGGAAAAAATGCAAATAAAATAGTTCATTGCCTTTGGAAAAACTATGCCATTATTTTTCCTTTTTCTTAAATGGAAATTTTGTTGAAAGAGGCCCATTGTCTTTAGCAGTGTTTCCCATCTGGTACACATTGTGCAGCAGCAGCAGCAGGAGCAGCAGTAGTGGAGTGAGTGACTGACTGACTCTCCCCTCATCAAGCTGATAGGGGGTGCTCTAAGGCTGCCTGACTTAACCTACACTTGATAAGGCAGAGTAGCAGAGTGTCACCAGGTTGAAGATCCAGCTCTGTGCGTGAAGAAGAAGGGGGAAAAAAAGAAACAGAGCGAGCTAGAAAAACAAAGTATGTGTGGTATTGTGTTAGACAGCTGGCTTTCATTGCTATCATAATGCCTTCCCTTGCGATGGCATGTTTGACAGAGCGTCAGCTATGCTCCTTTACCTATCAAGCATGTTCCTCTCACATGCAGAGGAATTAGACACTGTCTGTCACCCTGATACACCACATTAGTCTGTTTTGTTTCTCTATATGTGTTTTCATTTCAATAGTTTTCCAGATTCTTACCCCCCTATACGCATTCCCTTTTTTTGTTTTGCATATTTCTCTTTCCTCCTCACATGTGAGCTTCAGGTAAGATGAGCAAACAGTTACGGTTATGAGAAGGTGTCCGACTTTCATTCCAGCACCATAGATTCGGTGCCAGCTTCTTGTCATTTACTGCCTTCTGCCCTCAGGCCCTGTTACTCAACCATAAGTTAGAAAACAGGGCTTGTTCTGTTTGTCTCTCAGTCAAGACACGACGCGGGTGTCAGTCCTCAAGTGTCTGTCATCTCATCGACTCATTGGTTGTCTAGTTTTTCCCATGCCACCTGTTTTGTTTGTCAGGGCCGGCCCAAGGTATACTAGTGCGCTGAGCAGAATCCAGTTTGTGAGCCCAATAGGGAAAACATCTAAATAACCCCATGGTGATCAGCTGTTTGCATGCTATCTTCATGCAAGTCCTATCTTAGAAGCAACTGATGAATTCTTTCAACTGATTAGTTGATTATCTTGTAAGTTATTATGTAATACTTATTTAATTAGCAGGAATAAAGGTTTAAAAGGTGGAAGCTGTTAAAAAAAATACAGGGATTTGGGTTCCCCTCATTTGCTGCAGTAATCATTGTCTATATCGTTTTGATAAAAACTCAATAGAAATGGGAAGAATTTGCTTGTTCACACATATGGAACATTTTTAGCCACTTATTTTGATTTATTTGCAGTCACTCTGTGCATGAAATGTGAAACACGCTTTAGAAAGCATAAAACTAGATCAGTGACACTGAATTGGGAAAATGTTACATAGTGTGTTCACACATAGAATGGTTGGCGACACTTTTAAATATTTTAAGTTTGACGTTTGATAATGATAATAAAAGAAAAATACTTCAAAACATTTACCCCTTAAAACCAACAGAATGAATTTTGGCGTTTCTCAACAATAAACAATAGAAAAAAAAAATGTGCGCAGATATGATATGTTAGAATTCAGAGACTCTTTGTTGCCCCCTGCTGCTGTGGGGGTCCTAAGCTTGGGCGTGTTTTTGTTTATGCCCTGGGCAGCCTCAGCGTAAGATTCTTCATACATGTTTAGATAGCCTGAGCGTAGCTTCATCTGAATTACGGTCACAAGCTTTGAACTGTAGGTAAATATGTGTTTGTGTGCCTCATTTGCCTGCAAAGATTATGAGATGGAAATTATTTGGCAGTCGTCCAGGAAGCCATCGCCATCAAGAGAAAGATATTTGGCAGAGGTTCATCAGTGGGCTGAGTGGAAATGACTAAAATGTGCCTGTACAGGTGTGTGCGTCTATGTAGGTGACGGGTGATTGGGCCAGGAGGATAAGGAGTAATTCTATTGAACAAAAATAGATGTAAAGTGGGGTAAGAAAGAATATAGATTAACATTAATGATTTGAAAGTTTAGATAAACAGTTTGAAATGGCTGATAAGTATATTTATGATGAGTGTCCTGATAATTGCACAACAGTATGCAGTCAATCCTGAAGGGAGACACTGATTATTTACCCTCTTTTCTTTTTTTATGTTTATGTATATTTAGCTTATGAGAGGATAGATCTAGTTGCCTGGTAGTGTGAGATCCGATTTGCTTGGGTTTATAGACTGAATGGCCTGAAACGGTGAATCCGATTGAAGGAACAATGCGGACAAACCAAAACAACTGAAAGAGGGCAAGGATGGCGACAGGAGCCATGAACACAGCTACAGTCAAATCAATTAGCAAAAAAATGTTAATCATTTTGTCCTTTCACCATTTCAAACCCTCATCATTTCATGCGTGTTATTTCTAAGGTCAGAAATCCATTTGCCTTGACATGTTTATACATATTTAACGGCAATTTGTACCTAATTTAACCAGTGATTTTTCATTATAATATTTTATTTACACTTAGTGTCAGAAATTATCTGGCTCCAATAAATATTATATATTAGCTGACGGTCATTCGGTTATTTATTTTGAACAAGCAGGGATCATCAAACCAAAAGCTCATGGTCAAAAGGTATAATTAAATGGATACAGAAAATAATCTTAAAAGATTCTTCACTTGAATGAAAACTACAGGTCAACTCTTTGCCAATTTGTACCCTAATTATTAACCCTCATGTTGTTATTTCATCCCTTCCTGCATCCATTTTATAAATGAAAGCCCACCATTACCTACTCACCTTATTAAGTTATTTATTACTTATTTACTTTGGTTATAACGTAAGTACTTTAAGTCATTAAAATTAAAATCATTTTAAATATCCCATTCTTTAAACATAAACATTAGATAACTGAGAGGATTAGGAAAAAATGGCCTTTTTCATTTTTTAATTATATTACTTTATCTCTTTATTTCCTTTATCTTTTATACCTATTGTATGTTTTTATGCAGTGCTGGTCGTTTTGCCCTGAACTTTTTCTAATACAGGACCTTTTGACCTGCCACACATCATGCATACAAAACACAATTAATAATAATAATGGTTAATGATAATCATTATTATTATTATTATTTTACTTGTATGTAAAAATAAAACTAGTTCTGTGTATTTAATATATTGGATTTCAGGATCATAAACTCTGACCCAATTACAGACAAAATATATGAAATATGTTGTAATACATTTTTATAAATTAACATAAAATCAAACCAAACAAAACATTTCAGCATGTCCAACAATTCATAAAAAAATAATTATTATGTAAAATAAACCCATGGCTTTGGTTACTATATAACAGGTCATGGGAATTGCTTTGTTTCAGGGTACAAAGTGGAAATAGGAAGGGCCTGAATATATATACCTGCATTTTGTACGTGCAGATCATCACCTTTTATCCATAAACTAACCACATCCTACCTGTATATCAGAATCTGACAATCAGGTTTTCAAATTAGGTTTTTTTTTTTTTTGGTTTTGTTTTGTTTTTTGGTGCAACACTTCATGCCTTTCTGCCTCAGGCCGTTTGGTACCACCCATGTGTCATTTTATACCTGGCAGAGGGATGTTTCAGACCTAATCAGACAACTGTCAAGTCAAATTTATTTTCCTTTAAATGTGCTTTAAATCTAGTTATTTAACTTCAATAAACAATAGTTAGTGTTAAATATAATTTTTTTCCCCCAGTATTAAACAATTCACTTGAATTTAATTGTTTCATCAAATAGGGTAATATGCAACATTTCAGGTACTTAGCATTAAATGCTTTGCTTCAGGTATGAAATGCAAATTTCTGTACAGGAAATTTGAGGAAATTACTTAAAGGGGGATTAGACCGTAAACCATATTATAAAAAAAGTTCAAGATAAAGAAAGAAAGCCATAATTAATAGTAAAAATTAAATAGAAATTCTGTAAAAGGGCTCTTTGTCTAATCATTATGATCACTGGGGTGTGATGTAAAGGAAGGGAGAAAGCAGAGACAAAGGAGAAGGAGATGGGCTGTTCTCCCTCCCACAGGCACCACCACCTCTCCCTGAACGCCCACCCGCCTGCTCGCTCCCTCAGACATCCCTCACAGTCTCTGGAGCTTCTGGTTTCCTTTGGGCTCTGGACATATTTTCATGCTGGTACATCAGGGTAGGGTTAAAAAAATGTGGAAGTTGTCCATGAGGGATTTGTGTAAAGCCGAGGGACAGCGTCTGTGCCATGTGGGGGAGAGGGATGTGTAATAGTTATTAATGACCGTGTCAGATCTGTGAAGAATGAGATTTACTCTCCTAACAGGACCCCAGCTTTGGCTTTATGGATTTTCTGTCTGTTGAGAATACTGTTTAAACTCACCTGAGTCCTGATCCATTCATGCACACACGCAAGCTGCTTTTCCCTCCTCATGTTTCCCTCTCTCAGACACACACACACATGCTGAGAATGGTGGATGTGGCCTTGGTTACGCTATACTTTGTTGAGTAAAACTCAAGGCTCCCACCTGGTGAAGGCAACCATCTCGCTGTGACAGCTCAGTGCAGCTAAGGGCCCTCACCGGAAACCCAGCCTGCACCATGAGATGAATCGTTTCCTGGCCGCACAAACACAAACACACGCGGAGCAAATACACTTGCAGACGCACACCAACATGTAGAGTAAAGTGTTTGGTCCCACCTACGCAGATTTCTCTCAGAGATAAGTGGTGCAGGTGTTTATCTAGGTAAAGGAGTTTTAACAGCGACTCTGTTTCAAACCCCAAACGTGACACAGTTTTTAAAGTAACGACCACCCTGTGTGGTACAGAGACATGTTTCTTATCTTGTATTGGTTTCAGGACGTATCTGTGTTGAGTTTTTTTTTTTTTTGAGAAAGTTTTTCTCACTGACTGAGGGGTTTTCTGCATCTTTGTCTTGCAGCGGATGTCAACCATGACTCAGGAGCGCAATCTCCCTCTCCGGAGCCATCCACCCCGAGTCCTTTGAGGATGGGGCCCGGAGAGCACGATCTCTTGACCTGCGGTCAGTGCCAGACCAATTTCCCCCTCGGTGACATCCTTATTTTCATCGAGCACAAGCGCCGGCTATGCAGAGGCCCCGGCGGCAGACCTGGTACCTTCTCCAAGCCCGGGGAAGCTGGTGGGATCATGGGCATCCCCATCCCTCCAAGGGCCCGGTCACTGGATCTTGGCAGGGGTTCGATTCCAGTGGAGGTGGGCATCCAGGTGACCCCAGGGGGAGAGGAAGACGAGCAGAGGAGGCTGACTCCAGCTAAGGGGATCTGCCCCAAACAGGAAAAAGGAGGTAGATATAACAAGTCTTAAACACGCAGACACATCCCTCACCTTCCCAAAAAAGACAGCTTCCTTTAAAGAGAGCTGTTTGTTATTTTGACGGTGGCCTTCAGATGGAATTAATGTAGCCTGAGATGATTTTATTAGAGTGACTCAGAGCTGCAGACCTGTGTCTACTTCATGTCAAGAAAATAACACCCATACAGCTCCTTCTTCAGCAAATTACTTGGATGTGCATGCTGGTAATGAGTAAATATAAATGTAGATAAGCATATTGTCACTACCGATTAGAAAAAAAATAATAAAATAGAAGCATTTGAAGACTAGAAAAAATTTATCGTCCTGAAATGCATGAGTACAGTCTCTCATAAAAAATAATACATCTTTATACTAAACATCAAGATTATCGTTTAATGTTTAGAAATTATGAACTAAAAGTGACTCAGCTTTTTTATGCCCCTGGTGGCTTAACTTTATAAAATAGTTTTCTTTCTTTTGTGATCCGGGAGGCTAGGGGTCTTTAACTATTCCTCTTTCATTAATCTCTGCAGATCACTTAGTCCTGGATTATTCATATTCTCTTCTCAGCCTACAGATTATTATGTTTCTAATTTAATCTAAATCTCTGGGCTGACATGCATTTGGAAGAAAGCTATTTTTGTTTAAGTTTTGACCATTCCTGTGTTGATTTGGAGATTTGTTTTGGACTATTACCAAGCTGAAAAACAATACACATGCTCCTCTCTTTGTTTTCCGATGCTTTAAGATTTTTCTTTCAAATATCTCCAAATTTTAAAAAGTTATGCCATATAATAAGATTCTCAGGGTTGTTAAAAGAGAAATTAGTTCCAAAGAACCACAGATCCTCCACCCTTTAAAGTGACCATGAGTTTCTTTTCTACATATTCCCTGCTTGTTTCACCCCAAACCTAAAGTGTTTCCTATTCGTTAGTATATTTGTATCTGATCAAAGCCAATGTTTCCAGTTAAACTCTCAGTGGAGTTAAGAAACCTCCATATGTTTACATTTGTGATGTTAGGTAAGGAGATGTTCTTTTGTTGCGAGTATCACTCATGCCAACACACTGTTGGCATGTAGATAGCATTAATTATTGTTCGTCACCTCTGGTTGCCACTCTCTGCTAAAATCCTCAGCTAGAAAGCTTTGGGAGTATGTATCTATAACAATCTTTACCAGGAGTGTCAAAAAATGTGTGCGTATACACTCATTTTGACCCTGTTCACCGGAACCGCCCCCCAATACCAATATATACACGTCTTTAAGGCAAAATCCTTTCCAAGACTCCCTGAATAGGGTTTATCTTTTTTATTTTTTTATTTTTTTTGGGAGTGTAAATCAGTTATCTGAGTATTTGAAAAGAAATCCTACGGCATATGAAGAGGTTAAAGATTAAAATGTGTCTGTGTGCGTGTGTGGGAGTGTGGAAAAGTGGCTTAATAAAGCTGCGAGGCCGTTCATCTGGCTGTGAATGGGGAAAAGAGAAAACGGCTGGAGGGCTAGGAGAAAAGGGGGGGTGTGGAGGAATGGTAAGGCTGCCGGAGCTGTAAGGAAACCAATGCAGTTATCAGAGGAGACAGTCACCATCACACCCAAAAGCTAGGGAGGCTATCCAGGATTACGCCGGCTTCAACAGACTAAGATGTTTCCAGACAGAATTTCATGCACGATTAAACTTCTGACAGGGAAAGCGGCCACTGCTGTGTTACACTATTGTGTGATGGTCAGATCTAAGTGGTTAACAGGGGAACATTTAGGGTTTTGTTCCATAAGTACTTATGTTAATTATGTATTCTCAACTTCACACTTTGTCACTTCTCACTCAGACATATGTGATGTTAGTGTATTGAATTAGCATGCTACTAGGCATTGGTCAGCGAGTCTTATTTTAGAAAAACCTTAAGTTAAATACAACGTTATCAATATATTTACACAAACATTGAAAGAAGAGTATCTAACTGACATGATATAATAGGTTTAATGTATTAAATATAGCTTCTGTTACTCCTACTGAAGCTGAAATGATATGATAACTATTACAGCTATAGTAGTGTTATCTTTACTGTTTATTTCTTATCTTGATGCAAAAATAAATTATAAAAGAACATGGCCAGCAAACAAATTTAGGGCCCTTGACTTTATTTTGTTTTTCTTGTTTATAATTTTTGTGTACGAGTGGTCCATCGTCAGTGGTAACCGTGGGAAACAAAGCTACAGATTCTTCACACACTAACAGCTTTATGTGTATCATTGAAGTCAGAATTTGAAGGCTGTTTTCAGAGAAAAATGTTTTTAGACATCGTGTTTTTCACCTTACTTCTTTTATTCACCTAAAAAGAAGCAAGGTGAATAATAAAGCATAGGATAACTTGCCTGTTCCTAAATGTATCAGTCATAGTTTATCATGTGTTGTTGGATAGTGTTCTTTTAGAGGAGCAATGGGTAGCTCTGACATTAGCTTCGACACCAGGACTTTACAGGTTTTCCATTCCAGAAATGTTTAGAAAGGAAGTGAAAGAGTCTTGTTTGGCCGTCTGACTAACAATGCCCAGTTTGTCTTTCTTGTAGGTCAGTCAAAACATGTAGTTTATTTTTTTTCCTTAGCAAGATAACCAGCAGTACATCGCAAAAGATGTCTTCCTTGTATGCAAAGAAAAATTGTTACTAAAGTTTTTCAGTTTTTATTTTCTTTGTATGCAAGCTGATCGACAACTTATCACTTATTTAGTTTCTCTTGTGACATAAAAGTATAATAGTCTTCTTTTGGACTACTGACCAGCATAAACAAGAATTATTCATTTCTGTTGTCGTCGATCCAGCTGTTTCTCTACTACAAACGATCGTAACAATGTGAAAGACTTTAGCGGTTATGAAACCTTGATAGTTTTAAACTCGTGCCGTCAGTAATCAGTTTTATGCTATGTGCAAAAACGCATCCATTTGGATGACTTAGTAATGCATTTTTATAAATGTAATTTTTTGCAGATGAATGCGTAGCTGTTGTTTTGTTGTTTCTCAGTGGTGCTGCAGGATTTGTTTGTTTGTTTCCATACATGTTTCTAAGCTTTCATAGAGAGGTTCCCTGGGGCTTGTGCATCTTGAAATGTTACCAGAACAACTAGAAATGAATAAGGAAGTTAGATAGAACCTGTTTAGTTTCTGTTATCACCAAGCTGGCTCTTTAGGTATGAACTAAAACGCTGTGCAAAAAAAGGCATGCCCATTTCGAATCTGAACAAATTGTTTATTTTTGAGCCAAACTCAGTAAAGACCTCTTTTGTTGTCTGTGCAACTGTTGGTACATATGCACGGCGTCTGTGTGTGGCCAGCAGCTGTGTGTGGCCATCATCTGTCACTGTGGGAAGTATCTGTAAAGGGAGATCAGAGACAATTTGTGACAGCAAAGGTTTGGATGTCGCTGTCGATTTGCGAGAATAAAAGTGAAGCACATAAAGAATCTCTCCATATTTCTCTCAGTAGATAATAAAAATATCTGACCATCCCTCAATAACAATCTGTCTTTTGTTAATTGTGTTGTTTTTTTGGAAATAGATTTAGGAAAATTGAAGAGCTTCCCAAGGCTGTGGGAACAAACAAAGAGAAAAATAAATTGCCAATCAATCATTTTACTGTGGGTTTTGTCTTTGCAGGACGGTCAGGAGAAAAAAGAGGCAGAGTAGAGACTGAGTCAGCCTGTTAGAGCTGCAGCCAGTTAGTCACTCAGACGGAAAGACTTATCACTAAGAGAACAGGACATGAAAGCACTCCAAGGCCCAAATGAAAGTGAGGAGGGAAGCTTTGTTCAACACATTAGATTGCCACTCAACTCTGTCTCAAGTTTCAAGCAAATTAGATTACATTATTAGGACTAATTAAGTCCAAAGTGTTAGAAGCACTCACACTCGCTAGCAAATCTCACACACACACACACACACACACTCTGTAAGGAAATATCATCATTTAACCGCATGTGAGCTTCAGTGCACACCACCAAACACAGCCTGCAGAGCATGTGAAGAAAGTAGGGAGGTGCACTAAAGTACTCAAATTTTGCACGCTAATAATGCACAAAATGCTTGTGTAGCATGCAAAGCATATGCTTAACCCCTCTCCTCTTCACCTGGTTGTGTTTTATAACATCCTGTCTGGCCTCTTTGTCTGTCAACCCGCTCGCCTAAACTGCAAACATGCTGCAAGGCCAGCAGATTCAACCCCAAAAGGTGCAAGCGCACTCGTACAAACACGATAACACACACGTGTGCATGCCTCATTTTATGATACACACAGTAGATGAAAAATGGCCCTCCTCTACCCTCTTTTTTTAATTTATTCCCATCCTGAGATTCTTCTGCTGATGCATGCACAACATGTGTGTGTATGTTGGTGGAATATATATATATATATATATATATATATATATATAAAACCAGTCTGTTTTTTGTTGGATTTATTGTGGTTGTTTGGATTGGATGTGTGCATGTGAAGAATGACGAGTGTCATCACACAGGCGAAAGGTTGTCGCCTGGGAAGCGTTGCCATACTGAGACGACCCTGGCCCTCCTTTGAACTCCTCTCAGGACGCCCCCCCGCTGCCACCTCAGAGCACTTTAAGTCATGGGGGCGAAGTCACTTCATGAAAACCCTTCCCTCCTTCCGTGTCTGTGTCTTTCACCACATAGTGAATATTTCATGAGATGTGAGCAACAGAGACATCCTCTAACATCTCTCTCCGTTTTGCTCTCTGTCCACCTGTGAATCTGAGTTATGTCACATTTTGCAGCCCCAGTTGGCTTTACTTTTTTTTTGTGTGTGTGTGTGGGGGGGGGGGGGGTAAAAAAAACCTTCTTCAATAGTACTGCTATTCAACTGAACTAAAGTGACACCTGATTTACCATCAAAGGACAAAAACAGAGATAAATGACGCTTCAGAACGGTCCCAATCTCATGTAGGAAATTTCTGCGGTTGAGAAAATGTGCAAACCAGCGTTTTA